TCTGGGTCCTGTCCTTTCTGCCAGATGTGGTGAGCCTGCTGGGACTGGCAGGTCTTGCTTAGCTCTTCCTGAGACAACAGCTGATTTTGTAGGGAACACAGTGGGCAGATTTAAAGTTATTTTGATCCCAGTGCTTTCCAAGACTCTGTCCCAGGTCACCCTCAGTAATCACAGGAGGACACATTTCCTATCATGACAGCTCCAGGCCAATAAGACTGCTAATAGGCCAGTTGTTGCTACTGCATGACAGGATAAAGCCCTTCAATGTTCCAAAGCTTTTCCTTCAACCAGCATTTTCTAAGTACCGATAATGTGTCATGCCTTCCGCCAGGGAAGGTGGGAGGAGCAGGAAGAGATGTCAAAATTATGGAAGAAGCGGAGGATCATGGGCCGGTCTGCTGGCACCCCCTACAAAACAAAACGGGGACTAGGAGCAAAGCCTGGCCTGAGACACAGAGAAGAAAATCAGAGAAAACCTTCTATTGATGCTGGTGCTGGGCTTGGCAGCTGCCCTTGAGCAGAAATAAACTCCCCATGGCAGTGGGACAAGATGCTGATATTGGCACCTGCCAGAGGCAGGCAGCCGAAGTCGCAGCTGCGCTGGTCAAATGAGCTTGGAGACCTTAGGGGGCTGAGGCCTCGATGACTATTAGCAGGCTGCGGTTCTCTGCAGGCAGTTTATTGAAATGGGGTTTGTGTGCCTTCCCCACCCCTCTGGGCTGGGTCTCAGAACAATCAGACGTGCAGGTGGCGAGTGCTGCTGAAAAAGTCCCCTGCATTGTCCCTGGGAGGCAGGAGAAGCCTGTCAGAGAACACAGGGGCAGCAGAAGGATTCGTGCTGAGGATAGGACAACCCTAGAGTACGAAGAGGGAGCTCAGAGGAGGCTTGGGGGGAGGAACTTCCTGTTTCTGTGGTTTTCAACTGGTGTGCCACGAGATGACCTGAAGTGCTTCACGATAATTTGTAAAGGTCATTAATTACATTTTGGAAAGAAATTCAAAGCACAGTAAGTGTATTCATTTTTTTACTCTTTTTTTTTTTTTTTTGATCAACACAATTTAAGTGTAGTCGGAAGTTTAACTATAGGTTCAAGTGTGCTGTGAGATGGAAGAGGTTGAAAAACGCTGCCCTGTTTGGAGATTGGCATCACCTTCATTGGTCTGGCTCCTAAGAGAGGCTTCTCTGTCTTAAAAACAACAACAACAAAAAGGTCATCTGATAGCATAAGAATTTGGGAAGAACTAAATTTAGAGCAATTAGGATGAAGAACTGTTGGAAAAGAACCAAAGAACCTTGTTTTATAAATACTTAGGCAATAAAGAAGAGGGCGGAACCAGAGGCATCGCGCACAAGAGAACAAGAGCAGCGCTGTCTTGAGACCATTGCCCTTGTGAAATGCAGTGGCCTGTAGGAAGCACCCCAGGATGGAGGCAGTGACAAAACCCATGGATTCAAGGCCTCTGCAGTGAGATTTTTCAGAGGGACAGTCCTCAAGAAGAAATCTAGGTAACAGGCTTAAAACAGTGGTCACTTGAGAAGCAAACCTTGGTCAAAATCAGGAGGTGTCAGATACACACGCGGGATACAGATCCACCATAGGGATGAGAGAAAAACGTCGCTTTGGAGGACATGCGACCAAACCTCCAGCTGCTTTATTTTACAATTCCAAGGAAAAGAAATCCCTTCCTCTGTTGTCCACATATTTATTGGTGCTGCCTTCCTTTCTGTAAAGGAAGTGCTGGATCATTCAAGAGATTCTGACTATTTTCCTGGTGGGTTCCTGTTATGAACAGCAAGGGACAGCAGCGGGCTGCACGGCCCATTCATCCAAAGCACGTGTCCCCTCACGGCACATCGATTTTATTCCATTTTTCCAAACCCCCCCCAAGCTCAGAAGAGGGTCTCTGTGTCACTGTGCCCGGCCAGTGATAATTCACTTTTGGTTATCACTGCTTATAGGTCTGTCTAGCGTGGACGGTCTCACATAGGTGCATTCTGCTTCAACTAAGAGCAGAGGCAAGAGCAACAAAGATCACAGGGTATGAATCCCGGAGCTCTAGAACAGCCTCAACAGAGAATTAGAAAAATGCGAATCTGGCCAAGCAGCCCTTCTCTGGCCCACGGGGTTTATGATTCAGAGAAGTCATGCGTGTCTAACTACATGAATGAAAACTTATTTTCCCAAGACAGCTCCTGTGAGGCCACTATTTTGTAAATAATAACAACGGAAATGCAGTTATGTGGATTCTAAGAAAAGAACTTGCTAATTATATCCACTCCCACTGCTCTTACATCTCCCTTTCCCGGGCACTTTACACTGACTCAAAAGTGCTTTTGCTCTCCCGAGTCCCTGGTGCAGCAGATGGAGTGTTTGGGACTGTCTGATTTAGAGACAAGGAGGCATGTGGGGGACTGGGAGGCAGCTGGAAGCCGCCCGTCCTCGGAGCACATGCGAGACAGGAGCAGTCTCAATACAGGTCACTTCCAAGGCTGCAGCAGCTCTGGAGAAGCCCCGTCCTGTAATCGATGAACTCGAAGACCTGCCTTCTAAGACATTTTTTTTTTAAAAACCACAGGATAAAGAATTGTTTAAAAACAAAAATTAAATGGAAGCCACACTCATTACACTCTGGATATGGTTTACTATACTTCATGAAAAATAACCTATAGATTTCTCAACTTATATTCTATTAGAGCTTTGAAAAAAATCAGGTATGGAAAAATAAATACTCAATTGGCATTCGGAATTCCCTCTTTGCCCTGTGCACTTCCTCCTCCCTGTGCTCCATTAAAAAGACACTCAAACATGTATTAGCCAAAGATCGTCAACACCAACGCGGAATGATGTGCTTCTCATCAGTCTGGCAGGGCTGCCTTTTCTTCTCTTTTACTCTACAATAAGTAGGGCATGGTTAGACTTGCTTGATCTGGGAGTCACGGTCTGCATGGACATCAGTTATTGGTTTTTTTGTCAAAATCAACTACAATGAGATATTTCCTACCAGAGGTTCAAACCTCACCAGATGGCCGCTGTATTCAGTGGCATCCAGAACACCTCCACTAAAGGCATTTTGTTTTTAAGCACTCCAAGAGGAAGTGAGATAGGTAAAAGAATTAAATTATTTGTCTGGTCCAGTCCTGGGGCAAATGGTGTTTCAGAATCACTGTATTCAACAGATTTCACGGGGGTGGGGTGGGGTGGGGGGTGGGGGGGGGCTGAAATCTTCCTTGCCTTGCTCTGTCATAATCTCTACGATGCGTTGTCCTCAAACAAGACGCTTCCCCTTGTTGATTTAATCAGCAACTTATTATCAAATTGAGGATTTGGTAACTTCGATATGCATTTATCACTGAAGAAAAATGAGATCTTTGTTGGTGATGGATGAGGCTTTTGGAAATTTAATTTATATGTTGCATATCCACGCAATGAAGGCTGCCCTTGTTAGCACTAAAAAATCCCATTTCCTCTTTGGTCATCTGAAGCTAATTAGAGCTGCTGTTCACTACAGAAGTAATCAATAGCTTTCTACAGTGGATCACACAGAATCAGACCCATATGCAATTAGGCCAGTGTAGATACACAGAGATACCTTAATTAAAACAAAATTTGCTCTGTAAGAGATAGGCTCTCAGAGATGACTGGCATTCCAAATATTTTGACATATTTAATGTGTTTATCCAAAGTAAAAGTCTTTATGGTGGAACTTCTTACTAATCAAATACACTTGGGTGCTTGAGGAATTTCCCTTGAAAATATTTCAAAGTGAAAAAAGTTGGTACTGAGAATTATACACTGGTGTTTATTAACATTTGGATATAAATGTACTTTGAACACCAACAGAGCTAAAAGACTATGCCTTTATCTTGGCTTTCAAAGTTTCCTTCCCCCAGTAATGTGATTAGTCTTACAAGGCAGATGTCAGTGGGCAAAGGGAGTCAACATGAAGCATGTGCCACCAGCTTCCTCCTCCTCCTCTACCCCCTCTCCCCACGTGGGGAGAAAGCCAGGGCACCCCAGGACTCTACTAAGGTGGAATCTCCACATCTAAACTAGACTTCACAAGTGCACTTGAGGGTCTCGACTCACTTAAGGAAGAGAACCATGGGAGATGATATGCAGGGAAAGCAGCCAGATGCCTCACTGAGAGAGTCCTGTTCTCTTTATCTGTCCCAACAAATTCATCTCACCACATCTAATGTTATCTTCTTGATTAAAAAACTCTTCTTTTTTCTCATGGTCAGTCACAATCTGCCATGGAGAACACTGAACAAGATGCAAGCAGATTCTCAATGACCTTCACCAAACTACTCTAAGCAAACAGCCCAGACACGGCAGTCAGGGATAATGAAAATCTTAGGAAAAGAACTGTGTACCTGGCCTGGATCTGCTTCAAAAAAGAGGGCAACACATGCCAACCCCATCCCAACCTAAGCTGCCTTTGTCACGTAGCCATAACCCGAAAACCCAGATACTGGACTGTGTCAATGGCAAGGGTGGCATTTACAAGTGGCTGCCAGTCTCCCCACAGGGACGCATGCTTGCATTTCAAGAAGTGATAAGACAACGCTCGGCAGTGCTGTTTCCTCCAGCCTGTCCACGGCCATGTGGTGCAGAGCTTTCTGCTAAAGCACAGGCTCCTGAGAGTCTGCTTGCAAAGAGCTGTATTTGCGGAGTTAAGATTGGAGCTTATGCTACTTAGGAGGAAAAAACAAGCTCCATGGATTTTGTAGTAAACCATCAGTAAAAAATGAAAACAGTATCATTACTTTCAAAATATAGAAAGCCAATAGTTGAAATCATTTCTTAGTAAAATTGTTTTTCTACATATAATCTCATAACTGTGAAGTGTATTCGAGTGACACTTCAGCTGCATTTGACTTGTTAATTTTAGGGCTTCTCACTCAGGGAAGGCCCAGGAGAGTGTCGTTCAGCCACCCAGGTCCTGTGAAGGTGCTCACTCATTCTCCTTCTCCGTTTGACTACAAGATAGATACTGTCTTTTGGATGTGACAGGTGTTTATTTGTTCTGGAGGAGAGTGTAGAACTGTTTACGGGACACAAACATTAGCGTGGAAAATGCCAGTACATAGAGAAAGAAGAACCTTAGTACAAGCCAGTTTCCACGAAGTCCTGCTCTTGTTGAAAACTTTCGTTTTGTGGCAAAAAAGCTTGGCATCTGTGTCAGGCTGCCACGGATGTCATCGGAAACCAAAGCCATTGCATGAGATACGAAAGATTTCTTTAGCAATACTAACTCCTCTAGCTAGGAAATGCCAGAATTAAAATTGTTAAAATCATCATCATCATCGTGGTTGTCATCACCATGAAAAACATGGCCCTAGTCTGCTTTACGGCCACATTTACAAACTGTCCCTTTGAAATACAGCATGCCTCAAAGCCTCCTGAGTCTGGAACACAGCCCTGCATCAGATTCCCCGCTGAAGCCCATACGGATCACAAGAAGCTTTCTTAAAAACAACAACAAAAGAAAGTTCCAGTTGGATGGAACCATTTCTCAACCGAGCCCCTAAAACTGGAATTTCAGATATACAAGAGGACAGGAAACAGATAACTTGGTTTTTGTCTTTTTACATGTCCATATTGTTTTCTTTCTTTCTTTTTTTTAAATGCAGCTACGATGTTTCTGCCAAAGATAAAGACAACAGGGTGGACAGAGCGGTTACCACCAGACCCAGCAGTGGGCTCAGACCGCAGCTTGGAGGAGCAGCCATCGATTTTGTGGTTATGTGGCTGGAAGCACCAGAGAGACCATTCTTTTCATAATCCCGCTGTAAGAAAGAATAATTGCATTGTCACCACTGCATGGACTCGTTCCACCAGGGTACATTTTAGTCATATGCCTTCTCTCTCCCATTCCCCACTCACTACGATTTTACCACGGAGACTTCAATTCTCTGACTTATAATTTTATGGGAAGAAACAATGAATCTGGATGAGAACCAGACACTGAGAAACCAGCCAGTGCTGACTGTTCACTCCTCCGTTATGGATTATTAAAATCCACATGGGGGAAATATTTGATCTCAGGTATCCCTGCCATTCTCCCCCCTCTCCTTAACACCTCCATAGCTGTGAAATCTGGAATCATGAAACCACCAGCTACAGAGGAATGTCTGTCATCTCTCCCCACCATGGAAGGAGGGCAGGAAGAACCATCTCAGGAAATGTGCCCAGGAACATGACAGTTCACGTAGAGAGGGGTCAGAGACAGCTGCAGAGACAGGCAGAGCAGGGAACAGCCTTGACCTCCACCAGCCAGTTCAATTCCAGATTTTATAGAGAGTGTAAGGAGCTTGCCCTGCTTGTCAGCGGGAGAGCCCAAACCAGAACCCAGGCTTCCCGACTCCCAGCCAGCACAGCTGTCCTCCCCCAGGGCTGAATCCTCCTTCCCCATCTGCAGCACCTGCTCAATCCCATGATGCTTCATCCCACACAAGGAGCTGGATCTGCGCCCAGCACAACTGCCTGCTCCCCTGCCCCCCGGGGACAGTAATGCACCTACCCTAGCTACCTCTGGGCAGCTGTGGGGGTCAGAGGAAGTGCAGCTAGGGAGCACCTGGTGAGCAGTGAGAGTCTGTATGTATCTGCTCCGTACCAGGCAACTTTACCAGACTGTGGTCACAGAGAATCTCACGGCCTTAGAATAACCATTTTAGTGTTGGGGTCCAGTTCTGTTAGATCCCGGGTTCCTCGCTTACTTCTAACTTTGGGAACTAAGATCTGAGATCTTGCAGGTTGCTCAAAGGGCGAACAGAGGTGAAGGGTGCCTTTTCTTTTTCCTGGACCTGAAACCTTATTTTCTCTGGACCCTTTACATCACACCCTGCCCCAGGGGCCCAAAGACTGCATCTCAACAAATGCAGGGAGCCCCCTACAACTTACTTCAGAAAGGCAGAGGTGCGGACTGCCTGACACGTTGGATTTCAGCTTCTGGGCCTGGGGAGAGACAGGAAGAAGAAAGCGCAGACATAACATGTTAGAGTAATTACCGATGATCCATTAATCAACCATCCAGGGAAGTGCTATCCAATAAATATGCGAGCCGCAGCTATGAGCCCCATGCATAATTTAAAACTTTCTAGTAGCCACATAATAAAGAGATAACAGGTGAAGTTAATTTTAATAATATATTGTATTTAACCCATACATTACCACTTCCACGTGTTACTGATATGAAAAATTACTAATGAGATACTTTACACTCTTTCATTCCTTTATTTTTCAGACTAACTCTTCAAATGCAGTGCATTTGACATGGTCCCTTTCCACTCAGCCCAATTTCAAAGGCTAGTGGCCAGTGTGAAGGCAGCACAGAACGAGGTTACTGCAGAAAAGGATTTGAAGTGATCACTCATTTACACTTCTGAATGTCAATTTTGGGGAAGTTCCTCCTTCTAGGTAAAATATTGTGGTAAAAATCTCTACTGGCTGGGCGTGGTGGCGGACATCTGTAATCCTAGCACTCCAGAAGGCCGAGATGGGAAGATTGCTTGATCTCAGGAGTTACAGACCAGACTGACCAAGAGCAAAACCCCGTCTCTACTAAAAATAGAAAAAAAAAAAACTAGCCGAGTTTCGTTGTGGGTGACTATGGTCCCAATTATGTGGGAGGCTGTGGCAAGGGGATCACTCAAAACTAACCTTGCTTGCGGTTGCTGTGAGCTACCCCATCATGATGCCACAGCACTCTACCCAGGACGACAAAGTGAAACTCTGCCCCCCCAAAATAAAAATATCCATTTATGAGTAATATAGAGGTGTTCTTAAACTTGTTTGTGAATTTGTTTATTCAGTGCTCCACTCAACAAACACTCACCGAGCACCTACTGTTTTCCAGGGCGGGACATGTAGTATTGTTGAACAAAAGTGATATAGCCCTGGGTTCAGGGGGCTCCCCTTTAGGAAGTAAACCACTCACTGTTTGGGGACTAAGGCACAGGGCAGGGAGGTTTCCAGATGGGCACCTTCAAGGGCTCATGCAGGCATTAGAGATCCCTAATGCAGCAATGTTAGCACTGCTTCCAGGGCAGTTTCAAGGGCTCTGAGCTAGGAAGGCACAGAGGTCCCTAAGCTCCATCAACTGGGAAAAGGCTCTACTGGGCTTGTACCTGAGAATTTAGTTGAAAGAAAGGTTCTGTTGCTCAGTGCCAAAGAAAACACTTGAGAAAACTACTGACCCCAGGACAATCCTCTCATTTTACAAAGGAAACAGAGCACAGAGAAGTTAAGTGATTTATCCAAGGTCATGCAGCAATTTACTGAAAGAAGTTGCAGTCCACGTCTCTTCAACTCTTACATGAAAATGTGCTCCTTTCCACACAACAGTGTCCCCTTTCCCCTAATTCTACACAAAGAACTCCTTCCATGCATTTTGGCACTGACAAGCAGAGAACTCATCTGCTAACAGGATGTGCCCTGGGTGAGTGTCACACCCAAGTTCAAGAGTGCTGGGACAACGAGCTCTCTGCAGACGGCCCTGGCAGGCTGCCTGTTGCAAGACTTCTGCAACCCGCTGAAGATGTGCTAGGCTGAAATGAAGCATATTCACCCCAGGAGTAATTTATTGACCATAATGCTGCTTGGGAGGCGTCATAATCTTCACTTATATTTGCATATGCCAGCTGTGAATATGAAATAGAAACCTTTAAGCAGGCATCAAGAATAAGGCACTGTGAGGCATCCCTGGGCTGTTCAAAGGTCACTAAATGTTATGTATAAGGAGATCAGAGGGGAAATGGAAAAGGAATTGAACCCAACTCAAAAGCCTACTTTTAATCTATATTAATAGCAAATCTGGCCCTCTGCATTGTTACCTACAGAGAATAATGTGTAGAACTTTACATGTTTTATTTCTGTTCAAGGTTGGAATTGAGCCCAGACACCAAAATGGCCCTAAAACATCACACTCTGCCTTTTCTAGGCCATAATCTACAAAAGACATCAACCCTTTCTAAGGGCCTTTGCATAACTAGTCAGTTTACTCTACTGCATGGAGACGGAAGCAAGACTTCCAGATGGGGACCCATTATGCCCTCCAGTTGTTTCTGAACTTCACAGCTAAGCTGTTCCTCAGCGTCTTAGACACAGCAGCCTCTGAGGAGTCTAAGCGCTGGTCAGACCTCCTTCCACCTTCGTCCTGTGTGATCAGCACAGCAGGTCATATTTACCATTGTGCACACAGTCTGAGGCACCCTTGCTGCACTGCCCTGCTGAAGCACTAGTCCCATCATCACGAGATGACTATAAGGGGCTTTCACCAATGGGCTAGAAGAGGCTTCAATATTAACAGTTCTCCTCAGTGGATTCTATCAGCACAGGTAGATTTCTGACCCTCATTGGTCATTAAGGAGGTCATGGCATGGAGAATTTTTCAGCCTTCAACCAGGCAGATGCACACTAGTCTAAATTCTCCAGCTCTTGCTCTCCATCAGAGAATGGCTGGGATAAGGCTTCAGTCACACAGGAAAAGGCACTTGGGCCAGCTCCAGGGCTGTGAAGTCTCTGGGCTCTTCTTTCCCTAAAGTGTGGATGCCATTGGCCTGTATGCAAAGAAAAGCTCCAATTCCAGCCTCGTAGCCCCACTGGCTGGACTGAAATTGGAACCAGCAGCCCCCAAGCTCATCTAGCCTGGAGGACTGTTCGGGTGGTATCACTGGGTACGCCACTGAGTTTCAGTTAGAATGTGCAGGCAGGCCTCTTCAGAGGCCCAAAGACACTGTTTTCTCTCCTGGGGGCACCATCCCAACTCTCAGAACCACTCAGCCCCCAAAGGGTTAGCAGCCCACATGCACGCCTCAAAGGACTGTTCACGTAGCACATTAACAAGCTTCCTAAAGAGTGCTCTGGGGTGTGGGGAAGCCACCAGAACTGCAGGCACAGAGCAGAGCAGCCCTGGGTTCCCACTGACCCCTGGCACAGTCCACCGGAAAGCCGGGAGTCTGATGAGAAGGTGAAGGGCAAATGTTACCTGTTGCTGGAATGGCAGGTGACATGCGGGTAACAGAATAGGATTGCACACAGGTGTGACATCTTTTTAACTCTCTCATCAATTGAAACTCGGGCTGGAGGGGGTCTGCTGCCCAGACTGGTTGGGGTCAACGATGGACAAGTTCCTCTCACAGTGTGCGGACTACACATGGAGGGCAGGGCCTGGGATGCTGAGGCGCAGACCATGCGTGTCCGGCTGGCTGCACAGCCTGAACCCCCGGGGCCCACTGAGGGTCAGAAACCTACCTACACAGATCCAGAGTCTACTTCAGAGAATCTAGGTCTTAAAGCCCATTTTAAAAGCCTGTGAAACCGGTTATTTCTACATTTTAAAGGCTTTTATCCTGAGAATTTTTGAAAACATCATCAAGCTATCAATGTCTTGCTAGTCAGGTAGGATAAACGCAAAATACATAAAATTACAGGGCGTCCCCTGCTTTCAACTATCGCAAAAAGTACTTATACACTTTAAATGCTGTCTCAGTTGCTGAAAATTGGGACAGTCCTCTAAGTGAATTAAAAGGAACAAGGAAAAAAAAAAAACACGACTTCTAGACTTTGTAAAGTTTAAGGGAAGTTAGAAACTAGAAAAGCACCTCTTATCCCGAGTTATAACCCTGAAAAGCCAAGGGTGTTAAAAGGGAGAGTTGGCAGGGGGCTCTTCTGTGAGCCCAGCTACTGTGGGATAGGCAGGCACCCAGTGCCACACTCAGCCAGCCTGACACCACACCTGGTTTAAAATATGATGTGTCTTTTTAAAAAGAGATAAAGAAGATGTATATTCTTTTTCTAAAAGTCAATTTGAACCATCACTATATTACACTGAAAAATGAATTATTTAATTTCTCTTATGAAAGAATGTTTCCTAACATCTAATTTATACTCACACAGTTCGGGGGAAATGCCTGACACTGAGTTGGGGGAAACACTGCCACCAAAACATCTTACCTTGTGCTTTTCTTCTTGAGAATGGGAAGAAGTAAAGCAGACCAGAGAAGCCCATCCCCACACTAGAAGCCTTCTCCTCATTCTAGAGAACCAGGGAAGCTTGTTCTTTAGGCAATTCATAAGCCTTGTCCCTCCAGCAGCTGTGGCTCTGCTGTTATAAAATTGTCACTGGCTGTGATCCGCAAGTCCAGGCACGTTGCATAAAAGAATTTCCAGGGCACTGTAATTGCAAGGCCAGACCTCGCCAGTCCCTGGCACCAGAGGGTTAATAAATGCGTTAGATGCCGTTAACCTCTGTTACCAGGAGTCAGAACAGAGACTCTCCTGCTTTTTGCCCCAGTGATTAGCATTTGGGAAGCCTGACTGGTGCCCACAGCTTCCCTGCGCAGGACACAGACGTGCACTTCATTCGGAGTTCTCAGCTGAGTCCCCATGTGGGATCTGCCCACAGTGGGCTCTCCCCAAGCTTCAGGGACAGGTCAGGCTTGTGAGCAGCATGCTTGCTCTGATTATGGAATGGGAGACTTAACAGAGTTTCCACTTGAGAGCCTGGCCTTTGCCGCCCCAGGACTCCATTTCTGCAGAGAAGCCAGTGTTTAATCTTGGGTTTTTAGGCAGCTGTCAACCAGCAGGGCATGGAACATTTCTCTGCTCTCCTCCATGCATAAGAAAAGCCAGTTTCTGCTGTACCTCCAGAAAATAAAACCAGAGGATGTTGCCCAATCCAATAGCAACAGACTGTCCAGGCTGCAGCCAAATAGTCATAATTAATGATGCTCTGGTTCTTTTCTCCCTTGCTTTACTGATTAGAGAGATTTGCTATATTAGGAACCTGTTTGCTTAATGACAAAACACAAGCAATAAGCAGAGAAATACACAGACTGTAAAATGCAATCAACTTTGCTCTCCAGCACTAAGTACCTAGCTGCATCTATCACACTTGTCAATACCAGTTTATTAGCATATGAGTCTCTTCTGCAGCATACACTGGACCTTTGCTA